CACACACACACACACACACACACACGACTAAATACCGGTACTACCACTTCTACTACTACTACTACTATTACTATGACCAAATAGCGTGCAACTAGTTTGTAAAGTTTGTCAAATGCAAAATTGTTCATTTAATTGTTGCTGGTATTTTAGAGAAGAAAAGCACAGTTCAGATTTTTGGGCAAGGGAACAAAATGACCCATTTGGGATGGGTATTTTTTTTAGCCCAAGTACTTAATATACTTTTTTTTTCTCTGCATGATCAAGGACACAATAAAAGCTAGTCTGTGGCAATGATGTCACTGCACTAACCATCTAATTAAAATGCTCTGATGTCACTAATTAGATTCCTCATCACCACTTAGTGGCATACAGTGGAAACTCTGAAGGCAGACAGTTCAGACCAAATTATGTAAAGTTGGACATGACTTCTCATCAAGCGACACCTCATCTTAGTAAACAATTTGACTTTTACTGTGGTAAGCTTATTTGTACACTTGGGGCAAAATATGGAAGCGCAAAACCTTCAATCTGAAGAAATAACCCAAAGGTTTTCAAGACTTTGACAGTCGGGAACTATTTAATGATGATGTGACTGCTGACAAAAACAGTAGGATACATTCTGAAATGTCTCTGGCAGTATGATCTGCTCACATTCAGCCAAATGCCTCAGAACTCATCGGACAGCGCTTCACAATGCAGATGGACAATGTCCCAAAAGCAATCGAAGACTTTTTAAAAGCAAAGAAGTGGAATTTGGACAAAACTGAAAGGAAAATGCCCAAAGTACAAGTTAGAGCTCAAATCTAAAATCTGGTGATGTGTATGCGTTCCAAACTTCAAGCTGTAATTGACTGCAAAGGATTTGGAGCCAAGTTTGAGTGAAAAGTTGATTTCTGATTGCTTATTTATCCCACATCATAGTGGCTCCCCTAAAAAGTGTGAGGCAGGTATACAAACTGTTGTCATTCTTTTGGTGCCCGAAACATCTGCATGTTTCGCTTATCTTATCTCTGGTCTGTAGGTTCCGGGCGAACTCTCCGGGAGACCGTCCTGGAAAGTTCGCCCGTTCTGGCTTTGCTCAACCAGAGCTTTGTGAGCAGCTGGTCTCTGGTCAAAGAGCTGGAGAACATGCAGGTGAGAGACCAAAATATTTGCATACAAGCAATTAAAAATTCAATTTTCCATAATGTGTCCCCTTTTAAACAAACATTTCTGTTCCTGCGCTCCAGGCTGATGAGCTTAGCCCCGCACTGAGCGAAAAGGCCCGCCTGCACCTTGACAAGTACACCTTCCCTGTGGAGATGATGGTCGCCCTGCCGAATGGAACCATTGTAAATAACGCGACTCACGATGCTCCAGACACAATGAGCCAAATGAGTCTAAAATGTTCTCATTTGCAGGTCCATCACATAAATGCAAACTTCTTCCTGGACCAAACGTCCATGAAGCCTGATGATGGCGAGGAGCAGGACGGAACCACTTTCAGCTTCTCTGGAGGGTTTGAAGACCCCTCCACTTCCACTTACATCAGTTTCCTGAAGGAGGGGCTGGAGAGGGCCAAGCAGTACCTGGCACAGTAGAGTGCGCGCGTGCGTGCGTGTGAGATCATTCTTGTGGCTGAACAAGTGTGATGAGAAAGCTTCTCCAGAGTTTAAGTGGCAAAGCACTGAGAGCTGCTGAAAAGCTTTTATTTTATTTTTTTAAATCGCAAACTCCACCATTAAGTTAACCCGTAATGATTGTAGTGCATTTTAGGTTCATCTGGAAATTTGACTAAAGTTGAATATCGCTATTTTTTTTGCGAGTAGTCAAAGCCTCCAGAAGAGGAGGTGGAAGTGTGGCCTCTGGGCGCCTTTCAGCAGTTTGTGACGGTGCTGCCTGAAAGCTCTTCTGGGGCCGGGCAGAACCTGATGATCGTTGCTGATGAAGCGTCTGC